TTGCCAGGGTCGAAACGTTCAAGGACAGCCTACACGGGCATATGTCCGTCTGAACGAATGAAACTATTTTTAACGACTGTCTCGTCAACGGAGGGCAGTTCCACCGAAGAGGAATAAATATTTCTTTCTCTTTATTCTTCTTCGGTTGTATATTATCTTCAGTGATATCGAAATAATCTCATTATTTCAGGATCCAGGATCTAGCCGTTGCTTCACGAGGACGTGAAGTTTTGTCAGGTTAGCCGACTGTGACTGTTATCTCAAGAATGCAAGGAATATCACTGGTGTGATGAAGCGATGAGGTGTCAGATACGTGAGATACGTAACACACAGAGAGAGACCATTGTCATTGTCGAAGCGCTCTCGGTCGGGATCACTTGTTTGTTATTGTATAATTAATATTTTGTTGAAAATAGTTTCGGGTTTCATAAGTTATTTTATTTTGGTTCTGTGGTGGCCGTGTAGTTTACACCATGTTCCTGTTTTTTTTTCACTTCCATGACTCGCATCCATACCGGTGCTGCGTACAGTATTACTGATTGAACCACGCCGTAAAGCAGTCGTCTCTTTTGTGTGCTTGGGCCTTTCGTGTTTGGGAGAAGTTTTGTGAGAGCTGCTGTCTGCCTGTTAGCTTTTTCGCAGGTTCTGCGGTTTCTACCCACTAATACCGGCTTCCTGTAAATTCCTGATTATTAGTTTCCATTTGGCGGTGTTGAATGCATTCTTCACGTCTATGAGTATGATGGCGCCCCACGCGGTGTTTCTGTTGTTGGCAATGGAGATGACGTATTTCACTGCTTGTACGGTGGACCTTTTAGATCTAAAACCGAATTGTGTATCCGAGATGGCCCTTTTTTCTGACAGCTCTGCTTCCAGCCTTGCTTTCAGCAGCTGCTCGTATAGTCTTCCGGGTATGTCTATCAGACTAATTGGTCTCACTTTCTTATCCGCATCTGCTGGGTTTCCTTTCGGTATGAGAATAACTTTTGCTCTCTTCCATTCAGTGGGAAACTCCCCCTCACGCAGCAAGTTATTCAGGATGTTCAGTATTATTTCCGGGCTGATGCTCACCGCAAACTTAACAGCTTCTGGAAGGATTCCGTCTGGTCCCGGTGCTTTGTTCCCCTTCAATTTTTCGGCCGCGTTCATGATTTCCTGTACCGTGAATGGTTGTGGGGCTTCATGGGGTATATGCTGGTGCGGAGTGTGGGAGTTGTCGGTAGGAAATAGTTCCCTTATCTTAATTTCCTTGTCCCCTTGATTTATATCATAGGGGATTCTAAGGTGTTTCATAGCCCCTGTGACGATTTGGTATCCCTGCCCCCAAGGGTCTTACTCCAGACTGTTGCAGAGTAGATCCCAGTGTTTCCTCTGTGACGTTTTTATGGCCTTCCTGAGGAGCTTTCTATTTTCTTTGTAATCATTCTCCAGTTCTTCGATTGCATTGATATTCTCAGGCCTGCCTCTTGCCCTGTTCAGTAGTCTCTTGGATCTGCTGCACGTATTTCTGAGGTGTGCGATTTTCGCGTTCCAACATACGGGCTGCATTCTGCGAGGTCCACCAGTTCTCCTGTCCGTGCTCAAAGTTTGAGCGTCCTTTATGGCCCTGACTAGGCTTTTCGTATCGCAGACTCCATTGGCCGCCACTTGGAAGGCATCCCTGAAGGTGTTTGCTTGTGGTAGCGTCCTTTTCATCCACTCCCTTTTGGGTGCTGCGTTTTCTTTCCTCACCTCGAAGAAAATGTATCTATGCAGGCTGAGGCTTTCTATGGTAGATACTCTCCAGCATTTAATTCTTCTACTAATCTCCTGTGTGGATATGGTAATGTCTATGAAGGATTTTTGCGCTCGTCTGGTGAAAGTTGCGATGCTTCCTCCGTTTACCACAACCATGTTCAGAGCTTGTATCCACTCCTCCAGGTGGTTCCCTCTTACGTCCGTTATGGCTGACTTCCATGTCGTGGATTTGGCATTAAAGTCTCCTGCCACTACTGCCTCGGTATTAGAGTTTATGACTTGCTGCATTATTTCATCCAGGGTGTTCTTATACTGTTCTAACGAAATATTTGGGGATATGTAACAGCTGTACAAAGTCCAGTTCTCGAAAAGGACACAGACATAGCCCGGCCCTGCACGATGTGAAACCACTCCACAACCAGGATTTGCGCAGTAAACCGCACAACTGCCACTTGTGTCCTGTATCCATCTCGTGTTTTTTGCAATCAATCTATTATTTGGTTCCTGTACCAGGGCGATGTCAATCCCCTCCTCTTCAATTGTCCTTGTCAGGAGATGGTGTGCCGCTCTCCTTCGATCCATGTTAAACTGCACAATCTTCACTGCCATTACGATGTAGTGTAACCTGCGTCTCGTTTACTCTTTCCCTATCCATCGTTTGTGTTGCAGCAGAGAAAGGAGTTCTTTCTTCCGGAAAGTTCCCACGGGTTACTATCTGTGGCGGGAAGACCTCGTCGCCTGTGTTGGACCTGTATCTACTTCTGGGTCCCATTTTTCTCCGGGCCTCCTTTAGGGCCTCTTTGAACAGAGGGCAGCTCATACTACCTGCTTTATGTCCTCTGGCGTCGCACACTGGGCAGTATTCCTCTCTGGTGCAGTTTTGGGCTTTATGTTCTGCTTCGCCGCATTTGTAGCAGTTATTTGTTCTGTCTGGACCATTGCAGGTCTCCTTCTTGTGATCGGGGCTCCAACACCTGCTACACTTGGGCACCACAACTCTTTTCTCCACCTTGCACCTAACCAGTCCTATTCTCACCTCTCCCTTCTGGCTCAGTTCATTCGCCTTGTCCCTCGGGAGGGTTACCGTTATGGCGGCTGTGCCGTCTTGTAGCTGTCTTAATGCGCTTAGCCTATAGTCTTCCGTGTTCTGTCCTGTTTCTCTGCTTATGGCCTCTTTTATATCTTCTGTGCTCACGTATCTAGCTATTCCTCTGATATGGAAAGTTTCCATCGTTCCGGCCTCCCCCAGCTTCTTAGTCTTCAGTGTGCCTTCTTGTTCTAATGCCCTTCTTATTTCTTTCAATGCATCTTGATCCTTGTCCATTGTTAAGAGGAGGTTTCCATCTCTGGTTTTCCTTAGTCCTCTTATTGCCCGAGCTGCCTCAGGGCTGCCTACTGCATTTTTCACTGAGCCGAGTATATCTCTGTACGATTTTCCTTCGTCGCTTATGATGACACCGTAGTTGTTAGCCCCTCGGCTCCCCCTCTTATAACTTTTTCTGCTCGTGGTGTTGCCAGTTCCTCTCACTCGTGTCGTCTGCTCGAGTATTTCTACTTCCCCATCCAGTGTGGTAAGCTCCGGGAACTTGTCTCTATACAGCTTCTGCACGCTGGCCTTCATTTCTTGGTCATCCGGTTCTACGATGACGACATTGACTACGTCATCCTCCGTATCCAAAGGGTTGCCAGTGGTGATTGTCGAGTTTGTGTATACAGTATTTTCCCATCTCAGCTTCTCTATCCTCCTGAACTCTTCGTATTCGGTCGTGTGTTTCAGATCCTCCGGGGAGGTGAGCCTCGATGCCAGGCACGTGCAAGAACATGTACAGTTTCCTTTTGGCCCCGGCCCCTGGATTAGGCCCGCCGGAATCTCTGGGGCGTCAATCTCGGTTGGTTCTGTTTGAGTGGCTATCGAGCTTCCTTTCTTTCTTGACTCGGTCTTCTCCTGAAAGACTCCTTCTGGCCATGGCTCTTCCTGCATTTCATCTGAATGAGGTGTGAGCGTCCTGTCTACCTCTCCTGCGTTCGCCATAGCGCCTAGCCATTTTTCGTATTTGGCGAACATCACTTCCGTGATGGACCTTATTTCTGAGACCATCTTCTTTACCTCTATTTTAGTATTCTTGTTGCCTAGGGCGATGCTTTCTAGGGTCTTGCTGGTGTCTCTCAACTTCTTAAAGTTTACGCCCATGTCTAGGGGAGTGCTTCCTCCGTGTGGACTACTCAGCGCCTTCTTCCTTTTCCTTGGATTTCTTGCAATGGTCCAGTTATCCCTATCTTCCTCTGACGCAGCAGCTTCCTTCCGGTTTCCCGTTGCAATCGTGAGGTCGTAGGCCGGGCTCGTGAGACATTCCTCAAGGAACGATTCCGCTTCCGACCCGCTTTCGCTGGTATTCCTCCCCTCCTTCTCGATTGGCGAATAGAACATTTCCGTTTCTTCTTTTCTGCCTAAATTCCTATTGTCTTTCACTGGAGATCTGCCTAGAGAAGATCTCCTCACCGTTGGGTCTTTCACCCCCCCCCCCACTTGTATACCTGTTTCTCCGGTTTCACCTCTTTCTTTTCGTTTTTGGTTTGTGTTTGATCCATATTAAGTCCCACGAGAAGCTAGGGAAAGTCTGTCCACCCTTGCAGAGCCCCGCATGCAAGGGTAAGGCATCTTCCCCGTCGGGTTGCCTGGTCCGGTGGGCATCGTTCGCGACACACTATCTCATCCCTGTGCCATGCACCCCGTCGGCACGATGGAGCTACACCTTAGGGTTGGGAGACGCGGTAGCCAAAGAGTTGGCCAAGCGGAGAAAGGCACAGCCGCCTCCCCTGTGCCCGTGAGAGTGAATTCAATAAGATAGGCAGGAAAAGACAGGAGAAAGTATAGGAGAGAATGTGCCGAGGTAGGCGGAAGAAGAAAGAAGAAGATGTATTGGAACCTCACCTAAGACTAGTTGAAGAAGCTAGACGTTCAGCTAGGATTTTCAGGAGTCGCCGCCTCCTACACTCATCATAATGAGCCCTTCCAGAGTTCCTTTTATCGAGGTTGACTCCTCTAGATCCGTAATGTTCAGTAAGAGACAGGCCGACCTCGAGTAGGGTGTGCTTCGAACGAGCACTCATTACGGTCTTGCTAGTGCAGAGGCTTTTTTTTGCGCATGACACTAGCCTGGGAACAAACCCTCCGGCCCAACCTAACCTAACCTAACCTAACCTAACCTTACCTAACCTAACCTTTTTTTTTCTGGGGGGGAAACCGCATGGCGCCGAGAAGCTTAGGCTCTATCGCTCTCGGCAGTGTCGGGCGCTACTCCGACTAAAACCCCCCCTTGTCTCCCTGCCTGGTATCCTGGAATCGTCGTCAGACATACATCACGGATACCAAGTTGCCAGCTATTAAGGCTCATCCTATATGCATTATCTTCTCATCTGCTTCTTTCTTCTTCATGATCTTCCTCACTGTCTCATGTATCTTGTCCCATTGTACTTTCGACTTCAGCATTTCTGCCACCATGTTATCTGGGGAGAGGTCCGTTTCTATATCTATTGTCAATTCCAGGCGTTTCCTTTCCCACCTCGGGCAGTGAAACAAAGTATGCTCCGGTGTGTCCTCGTCCACCCGGCAGTATTGACAGTTCGCATCCTCGGTCTTTCCGATTTTTCTAGTGAAAGTGCCACAAGAACCATGCCCAGTCAACGCCTCAAGTCGGGAATCAAGCGCTTGGTCCATTGCCCTGTTTCCTCATGTTCGGCCCATTCCTGCTGCCACAAGTCCAGGGTTCTTACCCCCACTCTGTTTCTTGTTGCCTCCAAGTGCCCATCTACTTCTGCGTACAGGTTGTATCTCTCTATAGCTAACAGATGAATGGGGGGGGGGTTGCCCGCCACCACCTGTACCGCTTTGGTAGATACCGTACGGTAAGCGCTCACTATTCGTAGCAGCATTTTCCGCTGGACTGCTTCCATCTTTTTCCTATACATACCCACCCTCATAGCTCAATGCCAGATGGGCCCTGCGTAGAGGAGAATTGAGTTCGCCACGCTACCGATTACTGCCCTCTTGGAGCTGCTAGGTCCTCTGATATTCGGCATGAGTCTTGTCAGCGCCGCTATACTATTCTCAGCTTTCTTCGTGGCTCTCCTAACGTGAGGGCCAAAGGTTTGAAGATCGTCCAACACCACTCCCAAATATAAAATACTTCTAGCCGGTGTAATAACTTCGTTACCGATCCTGAATTCGATACCTCTCCTGCTTCGTGGTCTTCTGATTATCAGGACTTCCGTTTTTTCCGCGGCTAGCTCTAACTGGTGCTCCTCCAGCCAGGCTCCTACTCTTCTGATGGCCTCCTCCATACGCGTCACCATGTCCTCCTTGGTTTGTGCAGTAACCAGAAGGGCCAGGTCATCCGCATAAACGATGGTCCTTGTGCCATCGCCCAGCTCGATCCTCAGAATGCCATCGTACAAGATATTCCATAGCTCCGGCCCCAGCACTGATCCCTGTGGAACTCCTGCAGTCACTGTCAGTACTTCTTCTCGATGATTTTCATCAGATAGTTAGGTATATTCCTTCTTATCAATTCCTCAATAATCAGCCTCCACGACGCCGTATTGAAGGCGTTTTTAATATCCAATGTGGCTATTGCACACCATCTGTTTCCACGATCTCTAGCAACCTCCATCACAGCAGCCACTGCCCCAATAGAGGAGTGACCTTTTCTGAAACCGTGTTGGTTCACTGAAAGTCCTCCGCTTGCCTCCACTGCTTCCTTCAGTCTGCCTTTCAGTATACCCTCATATAGCTTACTGGCCGCGTCTAGAAGGCATAGTGGTCGATGCGCTCTAGGGTCGTCTATCTCCAGGTCTCTCTTTCCTTTGGGTATTAGCACCAGTCGGGCTCTCCTTCATTATTCTGGGAATTCCCGCCTCCTCAACATGCCGTTCATGAACTGAAGCATCCAGCTCGGGTTGGACTTCACCGCCGCTTTGATGGCCTCGGCTGGTACCCCGTCGGGGCCTGGCGCCTTCTTATTTTTCATGTGCTCCGCAACGTCCAAGAGTTCAGCTTCCGTAACGGGAATCACCTCTTCCTCCTCTTCCGCCCCTGGAATCACTGTTCTCCATTCTTCTACTGTCGGAAAGTGCACCTCCGCTATTTTCTTCTTGGCAGCTTGCGTGAGGTCAGCTGGGCTAAGGCACGAGAAACAGCCAGTTACTACTTTATAGCCGTCTTCCCATATATTATTCTCCAATTCATCACGCAGTTTTTCCCACTGGTCTTTTTTAGACCGCTGTATCAGTTTTCTAAGGGTAGCTCTCTCTGTTCTGTTTTGTTCTTCCAGTTCTGCGTTCTCCTCTTCCGTAAGTGTCCTGCGTCTCAATTGTCTGCTGGTGCGTCTTCTCAGCCAGGTACATTCTCGATGCTTTGCCTCGATCTGCACACTCCACCAGAACCTAACCTAACCTAACCTTTTTTTTTTTTTTTTTTTTTTTTTTTTTTTTTTTTTTTTTTTTTTGTGAGGGGGAAACCGCTTGTCACCGGGACCTTAGAGTCTATCGCTCCCGGTAGTGTCGGGCGCTACTCCGACTAAACCCCCCCCCTTCTTCTCCGCCAGATGTCCTGGAAACGTCGCTAGACATGCATCTCGGACATCAGGCTGTCGATCTTCCTTCTTGTTCCTTAGTTCCGTAAAACCCTCTCGTCAGCTTCTTTTTTTTTCATGATCATCTTCACATTCTCATGAATCTTAGCCCACTTCTCTTCTGACTCCGTCATCTCGCCAACCATGTTTTCTGGAGAGAGCTCCGTCTCCAGCTGCCGGGTTAATTCCAAACGTTCTCTTTCCCATCTCGGGCAGTGAAACAACGTATGCTCTGGCGTGTCCTCGTCCGTTCCACAGTATTGACACCTTGCGTGATCGGTCTTCTGTATTCTTCTGGTGAATGTACCAAAGGATCCGTGTCCGGTCAAAGCCTGGGTGAGGAAGTAGTCAGTTTTTCTCCAAGGACATTCTACCCACTTTCTCAGTTCCGGGATCAGTCGCTTGGTCCATTGCCCCGTCTCCTCGTTGTCCGTCCATTCCTGTTGCCACGTTTCCAGAGTTCGGCTCCTCGCCCTCTTTCTTGCTGCCTCCAAGTGCCCTTCTCCCTCTGCATGCAGGATATATCTCTCTTTGGCCAGTAAGTGGATAGGGGGAGTGCCCGCCACCACCTGAATCGCTGTCGTAGAGACTGTACGGTAGGCGCTCATCATGCGCAGCAACATCTCACGCTGGACTGCTTCCATCCTTCTCCTGTACGTACCAACCCTCATGGCATCGTGCCATATGGGTGCCGCATACAGGAGAATTGACGTAATCGCGCTGTTGAGCACGGCTCTCTTGCCACTGCTCGGGCCCCGAATATTGGGCATTAGCCTTGCCAGCGCGGCCGCGGCATTTTCCCCTTTTTCCACCGCCCTATTGACGTGTGCTCCAAATGTTTGGAGGTCATCCAGCACTACCCCTAAGTAAAGGATACTTCTGGATGGTGATATGACCTCGTTGCCAACCCTAAACGTGATACCCCTTTTGTTCCGTGGTCCTCTTATTATCAGAGCTTCTGTCTTCTCCGCGGCCAGCTCTAGATGGTGCTCCTGCAGCCATATCCCCGCTCTTCTGATGGCCTCCTCCATTCTGGATATCATGTCCTCTTTGGTATGTGCGACAGCCACGATAGCCAGGTCATCAGCATAGGCAAAGGACTTAGTGCCAGTGCCTAACTCGATCCTCAGTATACCGTCGTACAGGATATTCCACAGCTCCGGGCCTAGCACTGAGCCCTGTGGAACTCCCGCGGTTACTGTCATCACCTCCTCGCCGATCTTGATTTTCCGTCCAGTGAGGTACTGCTCGATGATCTTCACGAGATACTCAGGGACATTTCTTCGCATCAGTTCCTTGATAATCAACCTCCATGAGGCCATGTTGAAGGCGTTTCTTATATCTAGCGTGGCTATCGCACACCATTTATTTCCACGATCTTTGGCGACTTCCATCACCGCTGCCACGTCCCCAATGGTGGAGTGCTCTTTCCTGAAGCCATGCTGGTTCGGGGAGAGCCCTCCACTCGCCTCTATTGCTGCTCTCAGTCGGCCCTTCAGTATACCCTCGTACAATTTGCTGACCGCATCCAGGAGGCATAATGGTCGGTATGCCCTGGGATCATCCATCTCCAGGTCCCGTTTCCCTTTTGGTATCAATACGAGTCGTGCTGTCTTCCAGTGGTCAGGGAATTCTCGTCTCCTAATCATTCCGTTCATGAGGTGGAGTATCCAGTTAGTGGCGGACTTCACCACTTCTTTTATGGCCTCGGCTGGTACCCCGTCCGGACCCGGCGCCTTACCACTTTTCATGCTTTCGGCAGCATTCTGGAGTTCCACCTCTGTAATCGGGTCTGGTTCTTCCCCCTCTCGCTCCTCCGGGACCACTGCTCTCCTCTCTTCTATTGTTGAGAAGAGCACCTCTGCATAACGTCCTGTGTGAGGGCAGCTGGGCTCAGGCATGAAAATCTGCCAGTCACTACCTTATAGCCGTCCCCCCATATATTGACCTCCAGTTCGTCACAAAGTGTCAACCAATGTTCTCTCTTAGAGGTCCTTATGAGCTTTCGGAGGTTTGCTCTCTCAGTCTTGTAACTGTTACTCAGTTCTACGATTTCATCTTCAGGTAGTGTCCTCCGTTTCAGCTGCCTGCAGGTGCGTCTCCTCAAGCACGTGCATTCCCGATGTTTTGCCTCGATTTGTGGTGTCCACCAGTATGGGTCCGTGCTGTTCGCATTTCTCCGGGTGGTGCTGGTCCGGTATGCGTTCTTGATTATACGCATGCACTCCTTTGGTGTCCCGTCTTGTGCATCTTGGATTGAGCGCCCCAAAGTTTCCTTGAACGCCTCCCAGTCTTGCGTGTAGATAACTTTACCCTGCCTTTTTCGGGCAATACCTTCAATTTCGAAATAGATCAGGGCATGGTCACTTATCGGCTCCTCGTCCAAGATGCGCCATCCCCCCATTTGCCTCGCCATTCCTGGTGTGGAGCAGGTCACATCTATCCATGATCTTTGATCCCCTCTAAGGAAAGTTGGTTTCCCTCCAGAGTTGTGTACCACCAAATTCATAGTAGCTATCCACTCTGTCACGTACTCTCCTCGGGCATCCTCAATTGGTGAGTCCCAGAGGTAAGCTTTCGCGTTCAGGTCCCCCGCTACGCAAAAATCTGTCCCCATGCTTCTACCAAAGCCCATCATCTCATCTATTTGTCTTTTGAACGCTGCGATATTACAATTGGGCGAAATGTATGTGGCTATCAATATTCC